GTCGATAAATTAATAAATTAACAAGTAGATAGCAAAATTATGTGGAAAAGTTACCTAAAGAGCAAATGCTTGGAAATCCACCGGTAAAAAGCACAATTTCATAGTCCTGGACACGACTTACAGAGTTAAACTTTTTTTTAAGAGAAATTTTAAACGTTTGCAACAAAATGGTTTGATACTAATATATTTGATTGGTGCGGGTTCTTAATGCCACACACTTGAGTTATTACTTAAATAATAGAAAGTATACTAATTGTGCTACAATTAATTTAGCAAATTCATCATCAAAGCAAAACTAATTTTATTTTGGTCAAGCTTAATAAGCTTGAATATTGTTTTTATAAACTAAAGTAGTTAGAAATTATTCTCGAAATCAAATAATAAATTATCAAAGTTTTTTTTGATCAGTAAATTTAATTTGTAATTGTATACATCCAGATAAATCTCGAATACTATAATTAATTTATTGATTGTTGTTCTAAGTATAAATTTATATTTCTTTATTTTTTTGATCAGTAAAGTCGGTTATTATTATAAGGATCATAATAAATAAGTTGTCGAGATGCTTTTGTTCTTTGATTGATAGATTAGCACTTAATTGTATGTATCTTGAATATTGTAACTAATTTATCAATTTATCATAATAAAGAAATCAGTGTTTTTTAATCAAAAAATTTAACACTTTAATTGTATGCATTTTGAACGAATTACCAAATGTTTTTTTAATAATTGTTAAAACCTATAAATGAATAATGTTCACATAGAAATATTTTTTCATTCACTAACTACGATGCCAAAATTTTCAAAAAAACGTCGCCAAATGATACTACTAAGATCAAATCAAGTAAAAACAAAAAAAAATTAAGAAAGTAACAGATTTCCTTAATGACCTCGATAAAGAAGATTTTAATAGCATTCTAGAGTTTATATATAATATTAAAAAACAAAAAATTCCTACACATTCCGAAAACAATCTTACCAATCTTATTCAAAGCTTAAGTGATGAAGAAAAAAAAGATGCAATTAAGCTCTTAGAAAATATGAGATACCCAAAAGGAAAAAATCAAGGAAAAATTATATCTTCATATTTACAATGGCAATTGGTCGATGTAATTTCTAATTCTCTTTATCGGCCACAGTTAAGCTATACTGCCTTGCAAAAAGAATGTAATCAGCTCAAATCTCAAAATAAAAAATTAGTCAAACAAAATCAAAATTTAATCAATAAAACTAAGTCACTCAGATCACAAAATCGTCACCTTAAGCAAAAAACATCTACTCATATAGCCGCAATATGTTCTTTAGTATCCAAATCTAAAAAAATTTCTCAAGAAAATTTTAAAAAACAAGTTAAAGATCTTTTTAAATCAAATGATCAGCATTATTCTTCAGACATGGTTTGGCTTACAACAAAATTAGCACAAGTTGGCCAAGTTTCAATGTGCTCAACTGTTGAGTGTACAAAATTAATTTATGAGTTTTTGACGGGTGAACCTCCAAAAAATTGGCTTTCAAGAGAGTATATTACAACTTGGCATAAACAAGTCTCCGAATTAGCCATTTCAAATTTGACTAAAAATACTTACCAAACAAGCGCCTTTGGTATTTCTGCTAACGAATCCACTCGTGGTCAAAATAAGAACTTAGTAATTTGTTTAATGTATTGGGATAGTATACAGAATTACCCAATAGCTAGTATTATTAGTCTAACAACTATAAAAAGATGTAATGCTAATATGATCACAGAATCAGTTAATAATATTTGTCAAAAATATCAACTTGATTTACAAAAATGTATGACGTGGCTTACCGATAATACTGCCTATATATCTGGAAATACTAATGGTGCTATTGCTAAATTTAACAAATTAGCCAATACAAGTTCTATTCGAATTGGATGTGGATTACATATTATAAATATAGCTTTTACCAATTTTGAAAATGAAGCTTTTGGACATGTGTCTGGTGGGTTTTCAAGAAAATCTCATCCATTCAACCTTTTATATCTTGTTTGGCACCTTCATGATGGCTATGGAAATACAAATAGCAATGCACCAATGAATATCAAATCCAAATATATTCAAGATCTCTACAAATCTCTTGTTGGATATTGTTATTCACAATATCAAATGCCACTCCAAACTCGTTGGGGATATGAATTATGTTTAGCTGAGCAATATTTAGAGCGAAGAGAAACACATATTCAATTCACAGAATGGTTTATTAAAGCATTAGAATTCTATTCAAATATAGCTCCATCTTACTTGAATGATTGGTATTTCTTTTATACCTGGCTTAAGGATAACAAACTCAATATACAATTAAAGTGTTTAGTTAAATTCGGTCATCATTTTTTTAATCCATTAATAGAATTTCTTGTCAGTCAAGATCCTATCCCACAAATATTTAATGGTGAAAACTGGATTAACTTACCTTCTGGACGATGTGCTCATGAAATGCCAGATAAAGTTTTGGAATGGTTAAATTTTTTATCAGATGCCGCAGACAACTTTGATATATTTTTTTCTGAAGAATTACTTGAAGCACTTGAATTATTAGATGAGATAGAGTTTGGAAAGATATTTAATTCGTTAAAAAAGAGTATAAAAAAAGCACTATTACATTTTAAAAAATGAATAGTTCAATGGCTAAAATTACCCTTATCAATTTGCCATTTGGGAGGAAATAATGTACAATCTTTTGCTAGAAGTTATCGCCATGTTGTCTTGAACATTCCAATAGTCTTTGAGCTATCTGAACGAGAAAAAACATACATAGACCAACTTGAAAAAGATTTGTTAGAAAATATCTCAAATGATTTTGGACTAAAAACACTCTATATTTCAGATCCTAGTTTTTATAAACAATTTAATAATTTTTGTAATACCTCAAATCCTGAACTATCTAATTATCTGCTACTTTATGAGTTTGCTACTACAAAAATTTATTACATAATTGTACATCAGCAGCAGGTTGAGGGTATGTTTAACAAACTGGATTTGAAAACTCATCTAAACATGTCACTAGAACTTAAAGAATCCAAACTACGCCTTTTTGAAACAAAATTTTCAAAGAAAGATATTAAAGATAAAATTGGTAGTATTAGACGAAGTAATAAGAAAGAAAAAAAAGGAGCTGAAGTAGTTAACTTTGTGTGCAAAATGCATTAATAAAATTCAATCAAATCTTTGCTAGTTAAGACTTTTTTTTTCGCTTGATTTATTGATTATCAAATATAATAAACTAGCCAATTATATTCCTTAAAAAATCTATACTATGTTAATCGATTTAGGATTCACATATCCCTTAAACTGTAGAGTTCGTGTAACAATTTTAACTTAAAAATAATATAAATTTAGTTATGATTTATTTTTTTTAATATTTAAAATATTTAAATAAAATTTTATATAATAATATTTGAAAAT